ACCCTTTTCAGTGCCTTGCTTTATGGATGTAGCACCCACCCTTCTTGTGAGAAGGTTGTGATGTTTGCCTCAGTGTGTAATATATACAAAGATGCACCCCATAGCCTGTCCTGATGCTGGAATTTTAAATTGCTAATTTACATTGTAAGTTATATACACATGGATTTGTTGTAAGAAACTCTAATCTTAAGTTACTATTTACGTCCAGTATAAAACTTAAGACAGTAGCCCTGTAAGGTTTTCCACTGAGTAGCATTCAGTTTTATTCTTTTGGACAGCACATAAAAAAGAAAGAACTTTTGTTGTTGATAATTTGGGGGGGGGTGTAATATGTGTGGCCAATGCCTGTGGAGGTCAGAGGTGAATATTGAACTCTCATCTGTCTCCCTCTGCAGGGCTCACAGTCACACCCCACACCAGCTTTGTTGCGTGGGTCCTGGAGATTCAAACTCAGGTTCTTGCACTTACAGTAGCAGGAACCTTTACCCACTGAGCCATCTCTTCAGTTCCAAAACAGCTAAGACTCGCAGCTCAGGCCCTGTGTTCACTTATACGTATAACACAGTTCTCGTATTTCGTGTGAGGCACTGATATTTTCCATTACAGTTTTTCAGTGAGGGCTGCAATGTTGCTCAGAATTAGAGGCATGCATCGTGGCTTGCATTTGACTCCCAGCACTAGAAGAGGAAATAAAAAATCTCACTAATCACTGCCTGCATATGTAGCTGCAATAGTATAGAGGCTTATTTGTAATCATTGCTGACGCTTGTGATATATCTGGCCTTAGGGACTCGGTGTGGCCCCCTGAGGACCCACCCTTCTTGGTCCCCAATTGCTTTCATCTGCAACAGTCCCCTGCCTGCCTCTCTGTCTGGAAAAGAATGGGGCAGTGGGGTGGTGGGGGTGCTTGGTGAGTTTGGATCTCACCCTGCAAGTGCTGCTCCGACCCATAGTCCGGGGTCTGTGTGGACCTTCGGGTGGGCGCGTTCCTTGAGAAATGAGTCTCGTCTGTTTTGAAGACAGATGAGCCCTGAGTCCGCTTCAGAGCTGCCGCCTCTAACTAGCGTGCTCCTAAGGACACTGGAGCTGCAGCAGGGTTTCACCGAGCCTGTGGTTCCAGTTCCCAGGTGTCCGACCCTGATGACATTTAACAACGCTGGTAACATGCCTCTGTGTGTGAATACAGCGCGCTCCTGTTCCCGTGCTTGTTTTAAAGAGCAGGGCCGAGTGCTGCGCCCCTGTGATCCCAGAGTGTAGGAGACCATGCAGGAGGATCTCAAGTCGGAAGGTAGTCTGGGGTATGTAAATGAGACCCTAGATCAAAAAGGCAAAGGAGACCAGGCTGTGCTAGCGCACGCCTTTAATCCCAGCTCTTGGGAGGCAGAGGGAGGCGGATCTCCCAAGTTCGAGGCCAGCCTGGTCTACACAGAGAAACCCTGTCTCAACAAAGAAATTAAATAAAACAAAGGAGGTAGACTATAAGCAGAGTGAATGATCGAATGAGTGAATGGGAAAAGCAGTCCTGAATTTAGTTCATTGGTGTTTAGTGAGTGAGCATTCAGGTCTGTGTGTTTGTTCACTTTCCCAGTGATGTCACTGAGGCTGTGTTTCACCTGACATGCCCGTTTTAGAGACTTAAGTGTGTGTTCTTACTGTTATGTACCTCAAACAAACATTGCCATTACATTGCAGGATTATTTAATGGCGTGTCAGAAGAGAACATAAGTAATTTTGTTACCTGTACATCTTCACCTTGGAGGAAAAAAATGAGTAATATTGTTTGAGATTGATACCATTACTACTTAGAGATAGTCACAAGAAATGCCCAGTCTGCTGTGGGTTGCAGTTTGGTCTCCCTAGCTTTGTGTAGTCAGCGTGTTTGTTGGAAATATTTCTGTATTGCAGATTATTAACAGTGGCTTGACTGATGTTTTTATAACATGGATTTAAGATGTCACTCTGCGGCAGTGACAACCTAAAGATGTTTTGATGGCCACAGATTGCTGTGGATTGTCTCTGTCGGGGTCTAGGCAGGAGCCTCCATGTGTCATCCCGTCCCTGATTTCTGTCACAAACAGGTGACAGAAACTCCTTGGCGTGCTGTACACCTCTAAAGTCAAGGCCTCCAGGGGGCTCACCTCTCCCTGCTGCTTCTGTGACATCTTCTGCTGGAGAACTTGCCTAGCGTGACGGAGGCTCTGCTCAGTCTTCAGCACTGAAAAATACAACACTCCGCTGCCTGAACCTTCATTGGTTTGGGAATGTTTTGAAACCTGAGTTTCTCAGTCAGACACATCTTCCATTGACTGGTGAAATACCAGTTTAAATCCGTTTATTCTGACTAAACACTCTCTTGCACCAGCTCTCCTGATATAGATCAGTAAAAACCTTCCATTTCCTTCCTCGATGAGGCTTTTCTTCTTTGGGTGTCTGGGAAATCATTGCTGCAAGGAGGAAACCTGGCCATGAGTGAGCAGATTTCCCAGCATGCCTCGGAGAATTCAGTGCACTTTGTGACTTGTGGAGGTAGCGTGGAAAGTGGCATGTGCCAAATGACCATCTCGGCAGAAACCCCCAAAAGTTACTCTGGACTGTGTTGTGAGAGTCCCCACAGCTGAGATGCGACACCCGAAGAGAAGCCCCAAGTTGTTGCATACCTGCCTTGCTCTCCACGCCTTACCGAGATGCATAGAGTCCAGGTTGGGGTAAACTCTAGAACCCGCTGCCCAGAGGGAACCTCATCCTCTGGCCACTCACACAGCACCCAGGTATAAGTGCCTGCTTCTGCAGCTTGCTACGGGCCTCACCACAGCCAGACACACGGCCTCTGTTGGATGCTCGTCTTGGCAGTGTTTGTTGCTCTCGCCGTCAGTGCTGGCTGTGGACTTGGCTTTTATCGTTTGCCTGGAGCTGAGCTCATTTGGCCAGTTTGAAACTAGGATCTCTCCAGCAAAACAGTGAGAATGTATCTAGATGGTCCCTGGGTTTTTGCTAAACTACATTTCAATAGTTCGTGAGTTGCCTTTTAGATCTCCCCGTCCCTTGATGATCACATGCTATGCCCTTCTGGTACCAGTAGTTGGGGTAAAGGGGAGGGGAAGTCTTAATGGCAGTACTGCCCGTCTCTCGTGCACAATTTCTGACTGATACCGAATAAATCTATTTCTTTTGTTGGTTTTTTATTGTATGGTTAAAGTGATATTTATATAGCTAATACAGAATTGATAGTGTCAGCCAAGCAGAGGACGATTGAATGTACCAGCTCCATAATTCCTCAAATGAACGTCATTGGTATGAATGAGAGTGGTTGGAGTTGGGGCTGCAAGTTAGGTGGAAACTCTGCCATTATTTTCCAGGCCTTCTGCCCCTTCATCATGCAAAGTACATTGGCACCTCTCTTCCAATCTTTTGCTGGACAAGGATCCCATGATGTTGGGCTGTAGCAAACACAGCTGAGAAAATGCAAGAACCAAAAACTCCAAAACAGCATTCGTAGCAGGGGAGATGGTTCAGTCAATGAAATGTTTGTCATGCACGCATGAGGACCTGAGCTCAAATCCCAGAACCCATGTGAAAATGTGGGCGTGGTGTGTGCACTGTTGGTGAGCAGGGACAGGTGGATGCCTAGGACTTTCTGGGCAGCCAGCCTGGCATGCATGGTGAGCTCCAGGGCAATGAGGGACCCTAGTTCAAAGAACAAGATGGACTCTGCCTGGGGAATGATACCCAGAGTCAACCTCTGATCTTTCCTTCACATGTTGCACGTGTGCATGCACACAGATGCAGAAAACACATGCACACACGAGTATACGAGAGGCAGCTCTCGTTCTTCATACACACCTGGCCAGTGTTGGGTTTCTAGTATCCTTCGTGCATCATCTGGACGAGACAAGCTGGCTTTCCAGTTAGTCACATCTTTAACCTAGCTAGAAGGAAGTGCCCAAGACTGGAGTAAATCACTTTCATAAACCCTTGTTCGTGTTTACCTGCGGTTTCACTAAATGGGGGTAGAGAATTGGTATCTGTAAATTGGAATATTTCTCAGTAAACCAATAGGTGCCAATAAGGATCTCTGTGTCTCATTGCTTTTTTTATCAGCTAATTGTGAGAAGGGGTTGACTCTATGCACAGGATTTTCCAGCTCTCGTGAGTTTGTGTGCAGTAGAAGCAGCTGTGCACTATGGGGGAGGTAGTTGTTTTGATCGGATTTGTGCCCAGGTCCTCTGAACCCCAGAGGTCAAGCCACAAGTGCTGTGACCACAGGACATACATGATCCTGGCGGCCATTGGGCGCTCTGGTCTAGGGTCTGACCCTAGGTAACTCCCAAAGTCTGAGAGGGGACTTGTGAGTCCCATAACCAATGCCACACTGGTCCCATTCAAGACATGAAGAATGATGCTGTGTAGTTGGTCAAGAAAGCAAGGAGCACAGCTTATCCAAAATTACAGACTTCCTTCCTAGATGCGGATTCACCAGTAGCATACTTATTGAATAGAAAAAAAAAAAAACAAAAGAACAAAACTTTTTCTTTCCTTTTTATGTCCTGCAGTTTATAAGATGTATCCGTGACTAAGCCCACATACTTATTCAGACTCTGTGCTCTTGCGAAGCTCTTGAGTTTATAGCAGGATTAAGCACGTGTTGAAATGCTCCCAACAGTTCTGTCCTGCCTTCTTTTTAAACTGGGTCCAAACCCTAAATGGCCTTCTGTGCCTCTTTCCTGGCTGGCCACATGCTCCCAGCCCTACAAGAGGATCCCTTGCCCTTCCTTTTGGAGGTAAGCACAGAGTGTCACCTTCCGTTCACACTTCCAGGTCTCCTGGTGACAGCTTGGTGCCTGCCTGCCTGGTGCCTCATCTTGGACCTCTGCCTTCACCCCTCCCCCTTTCGCCGCATCCATACCGAGTCCTGGACCTACTGTCTCTTTGTGCAGTGGGATGGTTTTTCTGCCCCTCGGGGAACAGAGAGCAACATAAACACTTTGCTTTCTTCTTCACAGACACGAGACGACTTCCTGGGTCAAGTGGACGTGCCTCTTAGTCACCTTCCGGTAAGGACAGACGGTTCCAGACTGTTGCATGCTGGGGGTGGGGTTTTAGGGATATCTGGCTAGGGTGTCTGTGGAGTACGACAGGCATGGCAGAAGGGCTGAAATGGGGCATGTGTGCTCTGGCCTTGGCTCCTTGCGAGAAGGTGGCCCTCTGGAGGGGGTCACATAGAGGTTAATTTAGCTGTAAAAATCCCTGTGTCTGAATCACGGGAAAGCCCTTGTCAACAGCTCTGCCTTGCTCCTCCGACTCCTAGCTCCTCCACCTTTAGATACAGCCCCTTATGGAATGGTTATCTTCTCCTGTCTTCAGCGTCGTTTTTGTTTCCATGCGGCCTTTGGTCTGGCTTGTTGTTCACTTCCCTTTGGTTAAAGCAACTGCATCTGCACAGGCTGCCGTTTCCCAGGTCTCGTGTTTACGACTTTCCATCTGCTCGGAGATGGAAGAGAACAGTTGGTTCTGAGTGTGCTTATCCACTGGAATAGTCCCGCCCTCACCTCAGAGTGTTCCCAGGTTAGCCTCTGTGGCTCTGCCTCCCTTCCTCCCTGCTCAGGGAGCAAACGGTGGGGGCTGTGGACTGTGACTGCGGTTTGGGGAGTCACCTGCGCACTGCATCGGTGTGAATAGGATGGGAGACAAGAGCGGGAAGCCTTGGTGACGGTGGCGCCTCATAGACCAGCTGCCCTTTCCTGGGTTGTCCTACCCACCTCCTGGCCACCTTTCCCCAAGCAGCTCAAAGTGTCATAAGTAGCAGCTACAAGAGGAGAGTCAAATATTTCTGCCTTACAAGGGCATTGTGTTTTTCACTCCTTGTGCGCGCACGTAGCATAAATAGTCTATAAACTAAAGTGCCTGGAAGGATCTAGTGCGAACCTGCTATGTGGAAACGGGGGCTGTGCCCGATGGGGAACGCCAGGGAAGGCTCCTACCAGGCAAGCTTTGAAGCTCTGTTGAGAAGGAATGCAGCCAGCAGCAAGCCATTTACTCTCTCACTTGGAAGCTCAGAAAGAGAGTCTTCGAAAGTGCATGAGGATATTTTTTTGTTTGTAAGTACAAAGAGGAACGTCAGGTGCCTTATGGGTGTACTGCATAGTGCTTCTTTGGGAATCATATCCGAAACCTAGTATTTTTTTTTCTTAATTTTTTTCTTTTAACATGGGAGGAGTAGGCATGAGTACGTGCCCACAGAGACTGAAACACGGTGTGTCAGATACCGTGGAGCTGGAGCTACAGGCCTTGTGGATGCTGAGATGTGGTCTTTAGGCCTCTGGTAGACCAGAAAGCGCTCTGAACCACTGACCCGTCTCTCCAGCCCCAAACCTGGCAATTCTTTTCAGTTTTCACTCAGAGGCTGTGCATGCTCAGAAACTGCAAGGAAAGGTGTCATAGTTAGGGTCACTGCTGCTGCACTGAAACACCGTGACCAGAGTGACTTGGGGAGGAAGGGGTTTATTCAGCTTGTGTTTCCCTGTCACTGTTCATCATCCAAGAGGGACAGGACAGGAACTCAAGCACTGAAGCCACAGAGGAATAACTGTTCCTGATGGCATGCTCAGCCTGCTTTGTTACAGAACCCAGGACCACCAGCCCACGGATGGCACCACCTGTGATGAGCTGGGGCTCCCCCTTCAGTCACTAAGAAAATGCCCTCCAGGCTTTCTGCAGCCCAATCACATGAAGGCATTTACTCGGTTGGGGCTCCCGCCTCTCTCACGACTAGTCTGTGTCAAGATGACATAGAAGTAGCCAGGACACAAGGCTCAGGCATTCCCGACTCAGTGGGTTTTCCCTATCATGTTCTTCAGTTAAATCTGGAGGGGCATGCTTTGAGACAGTGTTGATCAGTTAGCCCTTCTCATGTGGCTGTCCCTAGCAACTCTCTTCCAGAAAATAAGAAGCATGTGTCCTTGGGGGGGGGGGAACTAATAGTCTTTAGGACTTTTAACTGAGAGGCTGGAGAGATGGCTTAGGAGTTCAGAGCACTTACTGTGTGCTCTTCCAGACAACCCGAGTTCAGAACCCAGCCGCCATGTCTAGTGGCTCCCTGCCACTGGAAATCCAGCTCCAAGGGTCCTGGCATCATCAGGGCTCTGCAGGCACTCACACACGTAGCATACAGACGCATACACATAGGGCTGAGTCAGATTGGTTGGTTGGTTGGTTGGTTGGTTGGTTGGTTGGTTGGTTGGTGGATTGGTTGATTATAGCAAAAGGAAGGGGGTGGGGAATGCTAACTGTGGTAGCACAGGTCTTTAATCCCAGCACTTGGGAGGCAGAGGCAGGCCATCTCTTTGAGTTTGAGGCCAGCCAGGGAAAACAGAGCCATCAGTGAAAGTTTCACCAAGTGTCTCAGTGTGCCCTCCGTGTGTGTGATTTAGCAGTGGCTGGCTTTAAAGGTGGCATAGCTTCCAGGGAGTAGAGACATGTTCTTTGGAGGCTAAGTCAGTACAGGGAATAATTGGGCTTTGGAATTTTGAGTGTCAGCTTGCAGGGAAGTTGCTACTAACAAGGCCCTACACTAGAATAGAAGCCAGCTGATTAAGATCATTATGGGATCACAGTGCATAGATATATGAAAAGGGCCTAATGAAAGTCAATATTTCAGGCAATTAATATATGCTGAGATTTTTTTTTTAATTTTAAGACCCCACAGATAGGACATCCTTTTTGTTCTGGGCATGCCCAGAGAGAAGCCTATATTATAGCACCATAAGCCCCTAGATAGACCAGCAGTTCTCAGCCTTTCTACTGTTGCAACCCTTTCATACAGTTCCTCATATGGTAGTGACCCCCAAATATTGCTACTTCTTAAGTATAATTTAGCTACTGTTTTGAATCATAATGTTAGTATTCGTGTTTTCCAGAGGTCTCAGGTAATCCCTGTGAAAGAATCATCCAATCCCCTAACAAGGTCATGACCCACAGGTTGAGAACCATGGCTGTAATGCAAATTGATTAGCCGTTTGAGTTAATTACCTTCAAGGAGATGGACCATATTAAAAACTAAAACAGAGGAGGTGAAGATACATTTCTGGTTTTCCATGTCATAGCAGAAGCCAAGTGGTATATTCTGCATGTACTTGGCCTTGTGACCCTGGATTTGAAGTACTGTTACGTGTGTTATTTGGCTGTGTGTTATAGGACCCCTGTGGGGAAATTGCACAAATGCTCATTCTGTGTGGTAATACAGTGTGAGAATGTGTTACGCATGCTCGGTCTGTCTTGTGAAGTACATAATCGATGTTCCGTCTTGAGAGGCACATGGCTGGAGTATCTGTGGCCTACAGTCAACATTTGTCAGAAATATACCATTTTCGGTAAAAGAAACAAAGAAGGTGAAAAATTATTCCAGTTGTCCTTTTAATTATGAATAATGGAGAAGGTTGGGGCTGAGAGAGGGCTCAGTGGTTAAGAGCGTTTGCTGCTCTTGGGAAGGACCGGAAGTTGGGCTCCCAGCACCCACATCAGATGTCACACAGCAGCTAACAACTCCAGCGTGAGAGACTCACACCCCTTCTTCTGGCTTCTGTGGACGCCCACGTTCACACACACATACACACTCATATACATAAATAATGATGAGAAAAGTCTTTAAATAATGGAGAAGATCCATGGAGCGAGAGCTAGAATGTGGGGAACAGCGGCCCTGCTGGCCTCTGCTCCTAGCATTTTAAGGGTTAAGGGACATGATTATGTATAGATGTCTTAGCTAGGGTTTCTCTTGCTGCAGAGAAACACCACGACCAAAGAGCACGTTGGGGAGGAAAAGGTTTATTAAGTTTGCACTTCAGCATTGCTGTTTAGCACTGAAGGAAGTCAGGACAAAATCTCAGACAGGGAAGGATCCTGGAGGCAGGAGCTGATGCAGAGGCCATGGAAGGGGGCTGCTTACTGACTTGCTTCCCCTGGCTTGCTCAGCCGGGCTTTCTTATAGAACCCAGGACACCAGCCCAGGGAAGGCATCACCCACCAAGGGTAGTTCCCTCTCCCATTGATCACTAACTGAGAAAATATTTTATAGCTGGACCTCTTGGAGGCATTTCCTCAGCTGAGGCTCCTTCCTCTTTACGACTCCAGCTTGTGTCATTGACACACAAAACCAGCCAGGACAATCTGGTTATTAATTGATAGTATAACCCAATTAGCAGCTGAAGAAATATGTACTGATAGATGGAATTCTGATCTTTGTGGATGAATCAGTGAAGCAGGTTCTCCCTCATGGGACATATGGCATCACTATAACCACATGTGCGCAGGTGTTTGAAATACAGCTGTATGATGACGGGAGCCATTTATAAACAGTTGTCATTTTCATTAAGGTTTAAACTTAAGCCACATTGGCAGGTGACTGCTGTCATCAGGTGACACCTCTGAAGATTAGACCAGAGTTCCATGGCTTTTGGTAAACCATGCTTTCAGATCCTGGGCAACCATGGGTTGGGGAGCCTGAACCCAACAGAAAGCCTTGTTTCTCTGTAATTCTGCATATACAAATACAAAGTATTTCATGTGGACAATTATGAAGTTATTATCTCCAAGATTAAAGTTATAGAAATAAAGATTAATTTTTTTCCAAATTCCTATTAAACAGACAACTTAAATACCTGTTCCTCCATGTTAATATATATTCACTTTTAAAGTATTATTATCCTTTTCTGTTGTGCCTGTTGCTGGGTCAGCAAGAACCTTTTAATAAAGTTATGGCCTTTATATTCTTCTTTCCGTGTGTGTGTATGTGTGTGTGTGTGTGTGTGTGTGTGTGTGTTGTGTGCACACACATGCTTCTGCCATGGTATTTAAGTGAAGGTCAGAGAATCACTCATAGGAGTCAGTCTCTCTTTTTATTATGTGGGTTCCAGGAATTGAACTCAAGATTGGCAGTTGTCTCCACCCACTGAGCCATTTTGCAGGCCCTGTAAAGACATTTTTATCACATATATGATGTCATGGACTTGGAGGATATCCCCGCCTCATGCCCAGCTACGCTCACCTTTCTCCTCCC